AGCATCCCAGTTCCCACAACTGGGTGTCCTAGTCCAGTTAGCCATGTGTCTGGCGGGAGCATGCAAGGGCAGCACACTGGGATAAGCCCCACATGACACCCTGACCCTCTGCAGGGCTTCCTGACGGCCGTGGGGAGCAGGAACGTGCGCTCGGCCGCGGCGCTGGAACACACCTTTGCCCCTGTGATGGATGGTGCTGTTTCCACCCTCTTGGGTGTCCTCATGTTGGCTGGCTCTGAATTCGACTTCATTATGAGGTGAGCACCAGGCACCCTGTCAGCACATGGCAAGGGGGAGATGTCAGCTCGCTGCTGCCCAAAAGCTTTTGGGGGTGGAGGTGCTGAGAGGGGCACCCCCTTGGCTGCCAGTGGGGACGTGGGGCATACAGAGAGGACATGCACTGCTGTGGGGTAGGGGACAAACCGGTGGCCCTGTGTCGGGAGCTCTGCAACTGAGGGAGGGTGACGGGTGTAGCCGGCTCTGGAAAGCCCAGGGAGGGGGAGGCAGCAAGGGAAAATGCAGCCCGCCAGGAAATACCATGAATATCCCCAGTGTAAACATTTCCCCTCGGCCGAGCGTGGGACAAACAGCCTGGAGCTGCCTCCCAGAGCATGGAGGGGGACTGCAAGGGTATCAGCCCACTCCTGCATGGAGCTGGCTGGGGGAGGGTTGCCCTGCAGGAATGGGGCTAAGTGGGGTGTGGGAAGCTGTTTGGGGTGGGATGGGGTCTATGGGCTCACCCCCCTACCTATGGCCCATGCAGGTACTTCTTTGCCGTGCTCACCATCCTGACGCTGCTGGGGCTGCTCAATGGCCTGGTGCTGCTGCCCGTCCTGCTCTCTGTCATCGGGCCTCCCCCAGAGGTACAAGGCCCCCATCCTGCTTCTCCTCGTCCTCCCTCACCCCACACCTGCCTCATCCTGTCCCCCATTGCCCTCCTGTCCCCCATTGCCCTATCTCTCTGTCATCCCATACCCACCTCTATCTATCCCCCATTTCCCCAGTCTCTCACTCACCTTGTAGACCCTCCCCCCTGGAGCACCCCTTCCTTATCCCATCCTGTCCTTTGCCCGTATTCCCCTCATCCTGTATCCACACAACCAATCTTTCACCCCATACCGTCCCAGCTTCACTCCAGCCCCACCTCACCCCATCTTTTCTTTGCCCCATCTCCAGCTTTCCCCAGATCCACTTCACCATGGATCCATTTCACCCCATCTCCTCCTCACCCCAAACTGTCCCCAATCCCCATTTCACCCCACACTCCCCATGTCCCATCCCCAGCTCACTCCATCGCTACGCCGCACTCCCCTGGCACTGTGGCCACCCTCTTTGGTCACGTCACCGTGTCCCCTGACGCCACCCGCTCTCTCTGCAGGCGTCCCCCTTGGATACCAGCTCCCGCCTGCCTCCGGCGGAGCCGGTGCCCCCGTGCCTGGGCCCGCGGGGGCTGTACGTGCGGCGGGCCCCGGCCTGGCCACCCGCCTTTGCCGACTCCTCGAACACGGAGCTGGGCACCGCGCGGGTGCCCTGCGATCATGGTGCCTTTGTCGTGCCCCCTGCCCCAGCCCACATCCTCCTGGAGGCCGGCAAGGACCCCAGCTTCCCCCACATCACGGTGAGTGCTGCTGCCTGCCCCCCGGTACCCCCTGGCACCTGCTGGCTATGCAGGGGGTCAGGACTGCAGGGTTGGGGTCTCCCGGGATGTGAGGGTTAGTGGTTAGAGCAGGGGGCTTCATGTGCCTCCTGCCCCGTGGCAGGGGCCCCATTCACATCCCACTCATGCATGTCTCCTCTCCAGGTGCTAAAGCCCTACAAGGACAGCCCGGAGGTCCCGGGGAAGAAGGAGCCACCCGGTGCCCAGCAAGCAGCCCCGCTGCCCCCCGGGGAACCGAGCCCCACGGTGCCCAGGGACTACCCGCACCCAGCAGCGCCGCAGCCCTGCTCGCCGGGCACGCGGCCGCACAGAGCTGCGCGGCCCCCGCGGGCCGCCCTGCCTGCCTACAGCACCCACGTGCAAGGGCCGGCCGGCAGCTACACCACCGTCACGGCCACCGCTTCGGTGACGGTGGCCCTGCACCCCACACTGCCCGGCTCCTACGCCAGCTTCGGCCCCGACGGCTTCAGTGGCGGTGAGACGGACTGCCTGGAGGAGCCCCTTCCCGTGCCCGTTCCCGGGGGCACCGTCCTGCCCAACGCCTTCGAGCTGCAGAACCTGGGGCGCCACGGGGCGGGCGCGAGGCGCTAGGTGAGTTGCAGTTGGTCGTGGGTCCCCTCTCCCGAGAAGCCGTGCAGCAGCACTGGTGCCTGTAGCCAAATAGCCAAGAGGCGCCAGCTCGCCGGGCACCTCTCACGGGCGCAGACACTGCCGTGGCCCCGTGCGCGGGCGCATCACCCTGTGGGACTGTGCGTGCCCAGGCTGGGTTTGGAGGGCCCCTGCTGACTCCCTGCTCCATCTCTCTGCAGGTCGCTGGCTTGGATGGCACCGACACAGCAGCTCGTGGCAGCGAATGGGGCCGGAGGTGCAGAGCAGGTGGCCCCGTCGCCGGAGCGGCTACGTCCCTCCCAATGGTGGCCCCGTGCGAGGAGGACTGGCCCCGTGTCCTCTCTGAGGGGGCTCGCCGGGGCAGCAGGGCAGGCCGGCGTTTCTATGCAAGCTGTGTGCAGGCCGCGCTGTGCCCCTGCCTGGGGCTGTGCCCACAGCACCGTGCCTCCCCCCGGGGCCTGGGGTCCCCCTGCCTCAGGCCTTTGCCCCCCCAGAAATGGAAGCACTAACCCCCCCTCCCTCTGTTTCTGGAGCTGCTGGCAAGATGGGCTCCACGCCCCGCGCTCTGCCCTGTCAACTGCCCCACTGTGGGGATCACTGCCTGCTCCCCGTCACCTCTGGGCACCCCCAGTCCACGCCACATGTTGGGGTGTCCAGATGGGGGGGCCTCAGTGCCCCCGTTTCCGAAAAGAGGCAGCCCCAGAGCCGGTCATGCCTTGGGGTGCCATGGGCACGGCCCGGGGCGGGCACCCCCCCCACCTTTATTTATTGCAAAGGGAAACTATCTATAGAGAGATATATATTTTTAAGCTTATTTTAAAAGATTTATTTCTCGGCCCGAGGCTTCGCCCGGCTGCCCAGGGTGCCAAGCAGCGAGGGGACCAGCCCTTTGCTGGTGTAGGGCTGCCCGCCGGGGGCAGCGCAGGCAGGGGTGCTGCGCAGGTCAACCCTCTGCTGCCCTACCCCGTGCCCCAGTGTCCCCGTTGGGGACGGAGCCGGTGGGACGCGGTGCGGAGCGAGGGAGCCTCCTGCTCCTGACGTACAGGGGTCCTGGTGCAGGCCCTGAGCCCCGCGTGGTCACAGAGCCCCGCGTGCTCGCAGAGCCGCGCGCGGTGGCACCGGGCCCTGCAGAGCCGCGCGCAGGCACGGCGTGGCGCTGCCGCGTGCCCTTGCAACGATGGATCCAGCTGGAAAAGGCCCTTTCCGTGTCCCGGGCTCCTCAGAGCGCTGCCACGGGCAGAGCCAGGCGCTGTCCCCCTCTCCGTCCCCGTCCCGCGCCCCTACCCAGCACTTTAACTCCAGCAGTGTTTGCCGCGCGCGTGGCCCCCCGGCCACGGCCGCTGCGCTGGGGTGGCCCCGGGGACGCCGTCCCCGTCCCCGTGCCAGGCGTGGGCACGGCGGGCAGCCCCTCAACCCCCCCACGCCATCTAAGTTATTTATATCAAAGAGAGCAAAGGTTTATTTTTGTAGTTTGTACAGGCGGTAGTGGGGACTGAAGGTTTATTTTTAAAGAGTAAATATATATATTATATATAAATTACCTGCAGTGTCCGGCTTGGTCTCTGGGGGGCACAGCTGTGTGTAAGCGGCGTACACTGGGTGATGACAGCGTGCGCAGTCGTGACACGTGTGACAAAGCTCTGTGTGTGTGTGTGTGTGCATGTATAGTATGTGTGTGTGTGTGCACATATGTTTGTGTGTGTGTGTATATGGAGAAGGGTGCCGTATGTGCTCTCGGGACTGGGGTCTGGTGCTGGCTGCTCCCCAGGGTGACGCTCACTCCGATGACACTCGCTCCGATGACACCCGCTCCTCCCCAGCCCGACTGCTGCACCCCAGAGGCAGCCCCATTTGGACACGTCTGCAGCGCCTGCCCATGCCCACGGTGCCCGGTGGGCACCCGCAGCCCCTTTGCAAAGGGAAACAGTCTGGAAGCAGGCTGAGGTGCCGCAGCGCCCTTGCTCCTTGGCCGGGGTGGCTGCTGGCAGAGGGCAGCTTTGCAGCCCGGGCGATGCGCAGCAAGGAGGGCGGCACAGGGTGCTGGGTCAGCCCCACACTGTGAAGGGCTGACGTGTGACCAGGACCCTGGCACAAGGTGTGTGTGTGGAGGAGTCCCTGTTGGCAGGGGTGGGTCTCTCTCTAGGGTCGGTAGTTGAGGAGGGGGTGGTGGTGTCCCCCACAGCCTCCCACGTGTCCCTCACAACCCCATCCTCCCCACGTGTCCTGCACAGTCCCGACCTCCTGCAACGTGAGCGTCCCCATCACCCACCCACACTGAGCCCCTTCCCCAGGGCGGCTGGCCTGGCCCTGCCCTGGACTCCCCGGGGTCCCCTGGGGTCCGTGCCAGTGCTGGCTGCCGAGGGAGGCCCCAAGCAGCGGGGCTGGGGCACAGGCTTCCCCCCCATGTTCCCCAGGTGTCCCGGGTGGAGTGCAGCCCCCTCCCACCCTCCAGGGACACCGTGCACGGACCTCACGTAGTGTTAGTGCTGCCTGATAGTCCTGGGTGCGAGGGCCTGCACGTGGGACCCCATCCCCACACCCCTGCACCCCACTGCCCACCCCGGCCCCCCTCAACCCGAAGCCGTGATGTGGGTGCAGCAGTTTTATTGCCGCTCGGCCGCGCCAGCGCCCACTTGGCAGTCCCCGCTGCGCCTGCAGCCCCCAGGTCCCTTTCCCACGGGGCTCATCAGCACCAGGGTGTCATGGGGGGGGTCCAGCCCCCCCATGCTGGCCCTTACTTGCCGTGGGGGTCCAGGTGGCGGTGGTGCTCGCGGGGCCGGGTGCCCCGGCGGGGCCGGCAGAGCCGTGCGGGGACCCCGCTGCCCCTGCGCAGCGCGTGGCACCTCCAGGCCGCCGTGATGCTCTCCGCCTGCGCGCGCGGGGACACGGCCGTCACCATGGGGCAGCGCGGGCACCGTGGGGCCCGTCCCCACCACGGGATGGGGCCAGCGCTCACCGGGATGAGCAGGTCCCGCTGGTTGTGGCTCTCCAGCGTGGCCAGCTCGCTGGGCGCCAGCAAGGGCAAGCGCAGCTCACGCACGGGCAGCGCCGCCACCTCGGGCACCGGCCGCTCCAAGACGGCCTGCGGGACACGGGCCGTGGGGACACCGGTGGCTCCGCGGCCGCCGCGGCGTCCCCGCCACGCGTGCGCTCACCGAGCTGACATGCGCCCACTCCCGCACGGCCTGCACCAGCTCCAGCTCGTCCACAGCCAGGCGGTCGCTGCGCAGCACCCGCGCCAGCACCGCGTCCGACAGCTCCTGGAAGCCCCGCGTCCGCACCACTGCCTGCGGACACGGCAGCGCTGGCACCGGGGACCTCTGGACTGCACCGGCAGCACCGCCCGGGACCCAGAACCTTCCCTCCCACCGTGGGACCCAGACTCCCACACAACAACACCCCCCTGGACCCAGAACCTTCCTCCTCCCGGCACCCCAACAGGCTCCCTCAGCACCACCCCAGCTCTCCCCTCCCGACAGCCCTTTCCCTGCAGCCTCCAGCCGCCCCATTCCCACGGGTCCCACCACCTTGCTGCAGTGGGGTGCACGCTCGGTGCCCGCGCAGGGGGTGCTGCCCTGTGGCTCCCCGTGCCCGTACCGCAGTGCAGTCCTCGATGAAGGCGAGGCAGTGCTGCTGCAGGTCCCCCTGCCCGTAGGTCACCGCGGCCTGCGGGGCAACACCGGGGACCTGCGAGGGGGCCGGGGCACACACACTGCTCCCGAGTCCCCAGGAAAGGCAGCAGCGACACAAGGGCCCTTGGGGGCTGCCATCCCCCTGGGGTTGCCATCCCCTGGGGCTGCCAGCCCCCCGGCAAGGTCCCCACAGCTGCATCCCCCCCATGGCAGCAGCTCAGGACACCCCGCTCGCCCCCACTGGCCTCCCCCAGCAGCTCGGCAGGGCCGGCGCTGACGCAAACCTGGGCACCGGGCGAGGTGTTTTGATGAGGTTTGTTTTGTTCTGGGGTTTTGGGGTTTTGCTGTTTGTTTCCTCCGGGCTGCTTTTAGCTCTGTTTACGCCATGGTGGTCAGGCACTGGCGCATGCTCCTGCACCCCCAGACCTGCGTCCTGCCTCCCCCAGGCCTCGGAGGTGAGAAAAATCCCCTCCCATGTCTTTTGTCAGCGGGGGAGATGGTGTCTCCAGCTGCCCCACAGATCTGGGGAGCATTGGCTGCATCGTCCCACCCGTCATTGCTGCTAGACCCCTGCCTGGGGGGCCTGCCCAGTCCCACGCAGCATCCCAAGCAGGTTAATAATTTTGGGTGCTGCGACTCTCCATGGGCCTTTGGGTGCTCTCCCAGGGAGGCACTTGGAAGAGTCCTTCCCTGGAAGGGAAGGGCTCTTGTCTGTTCACAAGGGCACCAAAGGGTGCTGAGGAGGGGACATGCACGGACCTCAAGGGTTGTGTTTGTCCTAGTGACACCACCAGGGAGTTTCTCACTGGGCCCCTGCAGCGTGGCCCGTGGCTCCAAGCCCGGCACGAGAGAGCCCGGCGGGACGGGCTGCAGGAGAGGGGTCACTTTTGTCCCAACCACCACGCGGGTCACAGCTAAGCAGCGCAGAGGGACGTGTGTTGGGCTTGGTCCATGGGAATGGCCAAGGTCTCCCTCTGCCCCAAAGCGGCCAATTCCAGGTCACCCCCGTGGTCTGTGCAGGTGGCTGCAGGTCCCCCTGGCCAGCACGGGGCAGGGACACGAGGCCTGGCACCGCTCAGCGCACGGGGCGACCCACCTGCAGGGCCTCACAGACCTGCTCCACGCTCAGCGTCTCCTTGATGAACTCCACGCAGAGCTGAAAAGCAGAGCCACCCTGGGGTGCGCAGTGAACCCCCTCGTGCACGGGGAGCAGGGCTGCGCTGGGGACAGGAGGGGAGCAGGAGCATGGGGGGCTCCTGGAAAGCCCGAGGTGACCTGACGGGCAGGGAGGAGCCGGAGGGCTCTGAGTCACTGGCGGGACTGGACGGAGCGGGAGATGAAGTCACTGGGCAGCAGGGGACGCAGCGCCCGGTTTCCCGACCAGGCCGGTGTGTGGGCTGGGGTCAGCCCTGCCCCGTCACCCCCGGCCGGGTGCAGATATCCACGCACTGGCCACCGCCTGGGCTGCCACAGGGTCCCTCCCGGATTGTCCCTCCCGCACTTCCAGCCCTCCCCTCCCTGCAGCCAGGCCTCCATTCAGCAGCCTCATTTCCGCTTGCGTTTCTCCCTTTTCCAGATGTTCATTAACTCATGGGGTCCAGGAGGAGGTCGAGCGTCCCCCTGGCATTTCCACCTCTGTCCAGCCTCTCCGGCAGCCCTTCCTGCATCGCACCAGTGCATTGCCCAGCATGGGAGACCACCCCCTTTCCCCGGGCACCCCGTGTTTGGGCCACACCGTGGTGCCGAGCTTGTCCCTATGGGGCTGTGCCTGCCGTGGGCCCCTCGGTGCCAGGCACGTGGCAGCCACGGCCACAGTTCAGCAGGGACCTTCCCTGCTGCAGGGGGGGAAGTGGGAGGGAAATGCAACCATGAGGCGACCGGTCACGGGATCGGCCCGGCTGTAATCCAGGAATCCCTCCGATGACGTGTCCTGGCCGTGCTCCCACCAGAGCCGTGTCAGCCGCCTGCCCCCTCCTCGCCACGGCTCCCGGTTTGTCCCGCTGGCCCCGCAGGCAGCACCGCGGCCAGGGGCTTTCCTTGGGAACATCCCTTTGGCTGGAGGGCAGTGGCAGCCCAGGAATGGTGACACGGGGACTTCCCTATCACCCTTGCAATGAGCCACCCCCGCAGCAGGGAGAGGAGGAGAGAGGCCCCGTGCCCTTCCCTGGGCTTCCCCAGCTCCCCAAGGTGGATCCCAGCTCCCGGACCGACTCAGTGTCACCTCGGAGGGGGAACCCACTGGAGAGCCCCTCGAGGCTCCAGAAAGGAGGCTGAGCTCAATCTGGCCCAGGATGGACCTGGCGGATGCATCGCAACCCTGGCACTGGTCCCTGTGCAGCCACCAGCACCCCCAGAGCACCCCGGGGTGCAGCCCGGAGCGGGGCGCCCGTGCGGCACAGCCGGCCCTTACCTTGCACAGCTCCTGCAGGCCGTACTCCACCGACGAGGTCAGCACCTCCAGAGCCTGAGCAGCCAGAGAAACGCCATGAACAGCAGCGTGCGAGGCCCATAGCGGGGCCAAGGCACGGGTCCCCCTGCCACCAGCCCAGCTCTGCTACCAGCTCTGTCCCACTCCCGGGTGGGAGGTGGGAACAAGGGACATGGAGGTGGGGACACGTGGAGGTGGCCAGCTCCAGTGACACCGTGCTGGGAGCCTAGGTCCTCATGCAGCCGTGTCCCAGGTGCCACCAGCTCCCTGCGCATTTTGGTCCCATGGCACCAAACCCCTGGTGGGGCAGCAGAGCTGTGGCCCCCCCGTCCAAGCTGCACATGGTCGGGGAGCCAGATCCTGGAGCAGACACCAGCAGGGCACAACATTCCAGACAAGCCCTCCCGCGCTGGGCTGAGGCCCCACGCACTCATTGCACCTCCCACCGGGACGCCTCTGTGCAGAGCTCCTGTGCTGCTGGCCTCGGGGCAGCAACATGTCCCCATTGCATCCATCTCCCTCCCACGCCCCACGTAGCCCCGGGCCCCACTCACGATGTGGCTGTCGAGGGTGACGCAGTTGGTGTAGAGGAACTCGATGACGGCCAGGAAGACGTCGGGCTGCACGTTGCCCAGCACGAGGGGTGCGCGCGGCGCGGGGCCGCCCGCGGCGCTCAGCATGCCCCGGAAGGCCTGGCAGCGGCACGCCAGCACGCAGCGGTGCGCGAACACCTCCCGCCGCTCGCGGCCCACCACGAACGTCACGTCACTGCCACGCCGGGAGACACGGGGCACCCGGGCAGAGCCACGGGCACGTCAGGGCCCGATCTCCGCACGGGCACCCGGGTGGGCTCTGCCGCTCGCTTAGGGACACGCAGGCTGAGGCCAAGGGACACAGGGACACCCCGGGGTGCTGGCCCAGGCCCGAGCAGATTTTCCACCTCAGGCTGCTGGAGAAAGCGGCTTTCCCTTTGAGAGCAGTGCGGCCGAGGGGAAGTCCCGCTGCACCGCGCGGCCCCTCCGCCGGCCACGTGCTCCGGCGCATGTGGCTCTGACGGGGCTGCTGGCACCCGTGGGACACGTGGGGGGCCTGTCCCGGTGCTCTGCATCTCCCCTGCATGGCCTGGGGCCTCGGGTGTCCCATGGCCCCAGGCTGGGAAGCAGTAGAGGGGCAGAAAGGGGGTGCAAAGCAAGGAGGGGATGGGAAGTGTCCAGCTGGAACATGGCCCATCCATCTTCTCAGCCCCATCCTGGGCACAGCTGTGGCCCCAAGGGACACATGCCCGGCAGGCTCCGAGCCCATCCCGCGTGTGTCAACACTGTCACGAGCAATACGCAACGCCGGACAGGCAGCCGAGGTGTGCAGGGAGTGGAATAAACCGCTCCACGGCTACGCTCCCCAGGCAAAGTGTGGGATGCAGGATGCAGATAGAGTGAGGGATGGAGATTGCAAATGAAAGGTGCAGGATGCAGACTGTGGGATACAGATTGTGGGTTACGGGATGCAGATTGCAGGTTACAGGATGCAGAGCACAGGGTGCAGGCTGAAGATCTGGGGTACAAGTTTCAGGTTGCAGGATGCAAGATGCCAGCGGGGGCTGCAGGCAGCCAGCCAGCCCCTGGCAGCCTCCCTAGCGCATGGCAGTGCAGCTGGGGACTTTTCTCAGGGATTTCTCTTCTGGTGGCCAGAATTTCAGCAGGGATGGGGATTCCCTGTGAAGCAGCCAGCTTTTGTGCCAGTCCTTATGGTGCAGAGGAGCGTGCAAGCCTGGCAGCTGCCAGCCAGGAGGTTGATAGGTGGGAGAGGGTGACCAGAGAACATCAACCTTCCCTCCCAGATTCAGGACATGGAAGGAAAGAATAACTGAGCCCATGGTTGGAAACAGGATGCAGCAGAGGCGCTCCCTGGGCAGGCACAATCTGCACCCCGGGAGCACCACGTGGGATTTCAGCAGTGCCTGTGCTGCCTGCTCCAGGGCGGTTCCTGCTCCAGGAACCCCATGCTGCTCCAGGCACCCCGTGCACAGTGGGGCACCAGATGCAGTCGCAGCCACGTGTGCCCAACAAGCGCCCCGACCCCGCCGGGCTCGGCAGCGTCAGGGAAGGGAGCACAGGGCCCGGGTCACCCCAGGGAGGACAAGGCAGGGGGCTGCACACGGCCGGTCCCTCACCTGAACTGCGGGTTGTTGAGCAGGGAGCGGAGGGCGGCGGAGAAGGCGGCCGCGTCGCCGTGCAGCCGCGCGGAGCAGGAGCGCGCCATGGCCCGGAGCGGCCGCCGGAGCGCCGAGCAGGCCGCGGGCGGAGGCAGGCGGCGGGGAGGCCGGCCCATTGCTAGGGAAACGGCGGCTGGCGCAGCCGGGGGCCGCCGGCCCTCGCTGGAGCGGGGCCCAGGGCCGAGCCGGAGCAGCCGGGGGGACGGCGGGGAAGCAGCTGGGAACGGGGCCCTCGCTGCCAAGTCGGCCCCGGACGGCTGTTTTCTGGGCCAAGTGCGGAGCAAGGAGGCTGGTGTCCTGTGTCCAGCCCCATGTCACCCTGAGGCTGGGGACGCGCGCTGCTCCCAGCAACATCCACCCCTACGGCCAGCAGCAGCAGGTCCAGCCCGGAGCAAGCGCCGCAGCTGGAGCTGATGGGACAATCAGAAGGATGAAGGCAGGCTGGGATTTCGGAAGAAGCCACATGTGCATAAGTTAAATGTGTGGAAAAAAAAAGAGAATTCACCTCCTGCAGATGTGCAGAGCCCTTTGCAGGGCTGGTGGGCACAGCCATCCCCAGGCGCTCGGCCACCCGAGCAAAGCAGTGAGGCGGCTGTGGGGCAAGCATTGACCCCGCAAGCAGCTCTGCTCCACGTCAGGCCGAGGTCTTCCCCACCTACCAACGCTTGCAATCTGCCTCAATCACACTTGCTACCAAACAAAGCAGTGCTCCAAGGCATGCCGGCCTTCCCAAGGCTGTCAGTGATGTGCTGGGTGCTGCCCCTTTTCCTCTGTACTGCTTCTAACCAGCCCCACAGACAGGGGCCAGGTCCCCACTGAGGCAGCCCCCTTTGCCCCACGCGGCGAGGCAGGAGCGGGGTCAGCGGCCGCCCGCGGGAGCAGGGCCCAGCTGCCGGCAGCAGCTATAAATAGCCCTGACGGGAGATGCAAACACAAAGGCTGCCTCCGCTTTCCTCAAATAGATCGGCAGCCGGGCCAAACAAAGACTCATTGATCCAGACAGCCGCAGGCACCAGCTGCACTGGCCACGGGCAGAGAGAAAAACCTGCTCCGCGCCGGGAGCCGCCGACCAGACCTGCCCTCCGGCTGGGACATGGAGCAGGGACCCCCAGCACGTGGCTGGGCTCAGTCACCCTCCTGCATGTCCCATTTGCAGGGATGCCGCAGGAAAGGCAGCACAAGAAGAACGAGCATCCAGGGGATGCTCCCAGGGCCGAACAAAGCTCTAGGGATCCCACAATTGGGGTGCACGTGGTGGCCCGGCAAGTTGTTCTCGACCCATCACTCGCTCTTGGCACGTTAGAGATACCTGTGAGTCCTTTCCAGGAGGAGACAGGGCTGTCACGTCTCCAGCACTGTGGTCCCTCTCCCTTTTTCCTCTTCCTTTTCTAGTGCTCCGGGTGGACGCTGGCTCCAGGGTGATGCTCCTTTCCTGCTGAGGCTGGAGGATCCATGTTGGGTACAATGGTGCCCACTCAGTGCTAGCTGAGCTCCAGGCTGCAGCTTCAAATGCAACTGTGCTGAGAGATGTTCGTGGGCTTAACACGCACACACGGAGTCCCCCTTGGCACCACTTGGCCACGTGCTGGGCAGTGCAGCTGATGCTGGGCCTCAGTGACACAGGGCAGCCGGACAGCACAGAGGAGGAACAAGGACCAGGGTGTGGAAGGAGCGGGAAGCAAAGAGTTACAGGAGCCTTGCCCTGGGGCTCGGACCTTGGTGCGTTGCAGTGTCACATAGCAACACTTCATGCTCCACCAGCATAACATGTTTTGCTCTGCGGCCTGCAGAGACCAAGGGGGACAGGACGGTGCCAGCCACGGAGCAGCCCCAGGGCGCAGCTTCAGCCAGAGCAGTGCCCTGATTCACCCGGCAAGAGGGGCACGTGTGGGGCTGAGGGTAGGTGTGTGAACGTGGCGAGTGTGGAGGCTGGGGAGGATGGAGCTGCTCACCTTGGCCAGGGGGAGGACAGCCATCAGGGCTGGGGACATCTCATGTTGCGGGAATGGAGTCACTGGAGTAGCCGAAGCCAGGGAGAGCCGGGGTGTCCTGGGCTGCAATGCTGCTCTTTGCCAATCTGGGAACACTGGGAATAGCAGGACTACTGTCGTGCCCATCACCTGGGGCCACATCTTCCTTCCAGGCTGCCCCATGGCCAGGCAGGAGCCAGCTGCACCTCCGGCTGGCGCAGAGGCCCCTCCACTGCGGGCAGCACTGGGGGGCACACGCCGTGGCTCCCAGCTCCTGGACACGCCGGCCCGGCCCGCGGCACCGGCAAAGAGCACGGAGGAGGGCAAGGCCCCCGCGCTGCCCTCGCGCCGCAGCTCCGTCCTGAGCGGCCTCAACGCGCCCTTGGGCAGCCGCCGCAGCTCGCTCGGCGCGGCGCCCGCGGGCAAGCGCGCCGCCCGGCCGCTGCACACCCGCCTCAGCTTCTCGGGGCTGCCGCTCCCGCCGCCCCCGCACGAGCCGCGCTGCCGCAACACCTACAAGACGCAGCCGGACGAGGGCTGCACGTTCCACGCCGGGCGGGTGCAGCGGGTGCTGGAGGTGGCCCTGGCCGGCGCGCTCGGGGACGTGGTCTATGGCACCCAGAGCGGTGCCCAGTTGGCCCACGGGCTGGCCGAGCTGCTGCGGAGTCGGGCCAGGGAGGTGGTGCCGCCCCGCTACAAGCTGGTCTGCAACGTGGTGCTCGGCCAGCGGGGCCAGCAGGGCCTGCTGGTGGCCAGCCGGGCTCTGTGGGACCCGCAGAGCGACAGCTTCGCCTCAGCCACCTTCTCCAACGCCACCCTCTTCGCCGTGGCCACGGTGCATGGGCTCTACTTCGAGTAGCCCCACAGCACAGTAGAAGAGAGGCTGGAATAAAGAGATTTGCTCCTAACAGCTCGCTGGCTTTGGGCTGTGGGGGGTGTGAGGAGCCAGGCCCCTTGGGTGATGTCCCACCACGGCATGAGGACAGATGTCATAGCAAGGGCATGGAGCGCCTCTCTAAAGGCTCAGCTGCAGCTCCCAGTGGGGCTGGAGCTGTGCCCTCCCCAGCTGCCAGCTCTGGGGCTCACTGCAGCTTGCAGAGACATAAGCTTCAGAAAATAGTGTCTGAAAGGGAGGAAGGTACAAGGCCAAAGTCCTCAAGCAGGCAGCAGCAGCGGGGAAGGGGGTACAGAGTAGTCCAGCCTGTTTGTCCCAGCACCAGCAGCTCCCAGGCAGATTGATTGCACCAACAGATCCTGTTCAAAGCACAGCCATGGAGCAAGATTAAGTCCTTGTGCTTTCCTGGCTCTGGTCCCAGCTCCTAGGGCATGAGGGGGAAGTGAACCAGCTGCTCCTGCCAGAGCTGGAAGAGTCATGGGCAAGAGCCCCAAACCCTTGTGCATAAGACCCTGACTTCCCCAAGCCTCCCCTTTGAAGATGTTGGAGTTGATCCACAAGGTAGCAATGAGCTGAGCTAGTCTTAGCTGAGGCCTGCAGAGGAGAAAGACAGGAGAGGAGGCCTAGATGGACCCCAGGAAACTCAGCTCCATGCCCCTAGCCCAGACCAGGGGCCCAGGCCTGTCTGCACCAAGGCTGAAGAGCAAGATGCTCTGCTCTCTGGTTTTGAGAGAAGGCCCAGAAGCAAGCAGGATAACAAGAGCTTGCTCTTACAAGAGGAAATTTTTATTGAGGGGAGTCAGGGACAAGGGAACTGCACCTGAAGAGTCTAACAGGAAAAATAAATAAATCCATATAAATAAGACACATAAATAGTCCCACCCAGCAAAGACTGCCTCGAAACAAGAAACTTCCCACAGGTCCCAGCAAATTGAGGGCTGCTCCAGACCAACCCCCAGATTCCTTTTTCTTCTATAAAGCTTCAAGTTGTACCAGATGAGTCACAGATTCAGGAGCCCCTGGAGCATGATCAGTCCCTGGTCTAGCACTGTCTGAAGGAGTCTTGCTCCCTCCCTTAGTGTAATGGTTGTGGAGAGGCATGTGCCAGCCCCTGTACACACATGGCAAGGCAGATGATGCCCTTTGCTCCTGTCCATCCCTTGCTGGGGATGGGGGGGAAGGTTATCCCCACCACACAGTGACTCTGGGGACAAGTGTTAACCTGCCCGAGTCCAATTCCCAGGTAAAGCTGGCAGCCAAGCACCTTGCCCAGTGCCAGGACAGCCAGAACCCTGGTGCCAGGCAGCAGGGAGCCAGGGAAGGCCCAAGCACCAGCCCCTGCAAGGAAGCACCAGGCTGTAACTCCAAAGGAGGGCCCAGGGCATTCCCTTGTCCCCTCTGCTCTGTCCCCGTCTCCCAGCACACTCCAAAACCAGCACAACCAGAACAGGAGCTGCCAGCACAGTGATTGCCAGAAACCAGAGAGCAGCAAGGACAGAAGGTGCCCAGACCTGCTGCCATAGCCACATCCAAGTGTCTTAGTCTATATAGTCCTGCTGAACACCAGAGCATAGGGTGTCCAGGTAGTCATCCAGCACCACAGTAGATCTCCCATCCTGGGGGAGGAAGAGGGGAGACCCTCTACGTCCAGAGAGGGTCCCCAAGGTCCAAAGCTAAGCCTCAGCCCGCTCCTGGAGGAGTTTGAGTATGTATCGGAGGCGGTGCTGGAGCTCAGGAGAACAGCCCAGCTCCTGGATGCTGCACAGCTTGTAGGTGTAGGAGTTGCGCTCCCGATTGATGTAGGTGACAAGACAGGAGTGGTCAGGCTTGCTGATGATCACCTTGGTGTGATCATTGCAGAAGTTCACCTAGGAGACAGGTGGGGCCAGCATTAAGCACAAGCTTGGCGTAATCCACACCTCCCATAACAGTGGGAGCAGAGATGGAGCCTTGCTTCCTGCCTCAACCCGTTCCTCCTCTCCGACCAGCCCAGGGGCATCGGCCACTCCACGCCCTACAGCAGGAATGCGACTGGCCCAAGAGAAGAGCAGCTGGAAGTGGTTGACCAAGGCATGGTGCTTCCCCAGGCCCTCCCAGAGGCTGAGTGACCCACAGGCAGCAGCCCTGGCTACAGGAGCAGCATCACTGACCAGCAGCTAGTTTCACAGCTACACTTCACATTTGGGCTGATGTAGCCCATACAGGCATCTCCACGAGCCCCACACGTACCTGGAGGGTGCCATTGCTGAAGAGCATGAACAAGGCTTGGTCAGTCTTCACCCATTGCAGGAGCAAGGCTGGCTGTCCAAGGTCATCTATGCTGGGCAAGTCACCTCCCTTGGAGAGAAAGGTCCAAATAAGCTACCCATGCCAGTCAGTGCTACACACAGTGGGACTAGGTACAGTCCTGGGGGAGGGCCCTGCTATGAAGACACAGCTGTGTCCACCTGGCCATGGCCTGCAAGCAGGAATTCCCACAACTCTAGATTAAGTAGTCAAGTTGACCAATGCCCACAGTCCCAGCCTGGTCCTCATGAGCGCCCCCCATCACTCACCTTCATGAGATGCTGCTCCATGTAGGAAGCGAAGTAGCGCAAGACACTCATCTGTCCCTGCAGCTGCTCAGGGATGGCAGACACAGGGAATGCAATGTGTCTGCTGTTGGTAAAGTTGTAATGCACCATCCTGGAAGAGGAGCAGACCATGAGCTTTAGGAATCACCAGCCCCAAGCCCACAACCGGTGGGGCCTCCCCCAGCCCCTTCCCAGCCACCCTCAAGAGAGGCTGGTCCTAGAGACACCAGCAGCTTCCCCACTGCTTACTTGTGGTTGGGGGAAAGCATCATGTGCGTGCCATCGTTGAAGAGGACCCCGATGCTGCGGTTGGAGAGCTGGTAGCCAAAGCCGTACTTGTTGGAGTAATCCACCCACTTGCTCACCCAGACGAACTGCTCGTGCCGGGCCAGGGAGGCCGGGTTTCTGTCTGCTGATGGGATGGAGAGGGGGGTGAGCAACTCTGTTCTGCCCAGCTCACCACCCCACCCCAGGCAAGCAGAACTGCCCCCCACTCCAAGCAGCAGGCTCCAATGGAATCTAAGGTACCCCCAACTGCAGCCCTGCCTTCATCCTGTGGGGAAGGGGACACAGACACACCATCCAGGGGCCATGTGGCTGGTTTACCTGGAGGCATGCAGGACAGACAGGTCCGCAGGAGCCGGACAGCTGACTCAATGACAGCAGAAGCAGTGACGCAGTCTTCAAAGGCTGCAGATGGATGATTACAAGCTTTGAGTCAACTATCTCATCCCCCTTGCTATCAGCAGCAGGTCAGGAAGCTCAGGACAGGCCAGGGTGGCCCAGGAAGGTAGGCAGGCACTGCTCACCTTCAGAGCTGCTAGCCATAGTGCCCCGGATGGAGGGGCACACAGACTTGTGAGAAGTCTCCTCCGCCAGTGTCTCCACAGGGCTGGAGCCGGCACTGCGGCATGAGATTGGGGTGGCCTGCAGAGAGATCCAGCATTAGCACCGTCCCAGGCTGGACCCTCAAGAAGGGGTGGGCCTAGGCTTGGGGATAAGCTCTGCTCTCCTCACCTCATTCCCTTCCAGAGTTTTGTAGCTCATCTGTCGACAGATTGAGGTCTTCATCAACCCAGTGACCAGCTTGGAGATGTCATCTTTGTCCTCTGAAGAGCTCTTCTTGGCTAAGGAGACAGCAGGCAGTGAGCCCACTGCAGGGCATGGGGGGCAGGAGGAAGAGATCCTTGTGCTACCCCCAACAGCTTGGCTTTCCCTGGGCCTCTCCCGTGCCCATCACGGGCAGGATGGCGTCAGGCAGCTGCCTCCCACTTTCACTTCCCAGTTCTCATGCAACACAAGGTTTCCAGGAGGAACTACCCGCTGCGGATTGCAGCCCAGCATCCGCTCTGTGGGCAGCACACCCTGCACCCGGCCAGCGGCCGCGCGGCTCCGGAAGGGCAGGAGCAAACCCTGCTTGTGCCAGCCCCGCACAGCGGGCTGCAAAGCACCATCGGCGCTCGCAGGAGCCAGGGCCCACTTTTCCCAAGAAAAAGGGTCAGCCAGAGGCTCCTGTCCGTCTGGAGCAGAGCACAGCCTTACCCTTGGGTTTCTTCTTCCCAAAGAGTGTCTTAGTGACTTTGGCAAAGAGACTCTTGGCCGGGTTGGGGGGACACAGATCTGGAGCCATCACACAACTGCTGGGTGGCAGCTTCTCGGGTGTATAACCCTGAGGAGAGGTCAAAACAGAGCTTCAGTTTCCATAGCCCATGTGCTGCACAGCAGAACAGCTGTCCTGAGCTGACCAGTCACTCACAACCCTCCTGACAGCCAGCTTGCATTTCAGTCAAGCCATAAATCCAGGATGAGCACTGAGGTATCATCAGTATGGGAAGCAGCCTGTGTTATGGGGACAGTGCAGCAGGGAACCACACCAGATCCCGCAGCCCCCAGAGCAATTCCTCCAGCTGGCATTTCCACCGGACACCAGCCTCTTCCCTCAAGGGCTCAAGGCCAGGGTGACAAGGACAGCACACTGAGGGCAGCACCCTGCGCTTTGTGCATGCGGCTGGAAAAGCCTCCTTCCTCCCACCTGGAGGGGTCACAGCAGCCCAGAGATCCGACTGCAGGCTCCTGCTTGCTCACCTTGAAGAACTCATGGTCCAAGATCTCCTCGAGTGTGAGGCGGTCCTGGGGGTTGCGTTTCAGGATGCCGGCAATGAGGTGCCTGGCAGGCACGGAGAGGAAGGTGGGCAGCATGTAATCCACCTGCTTGATGCACCTGTAGGTTTCCTTGAGGTCCGACGTCTCAAAAGGAGGGTTCCCACAGAGCAGGGTATACCTGGCAAAGGACACACGTGCCACAGTTAGGTCCCTGCAGGGCTCATGACTCAGCAGCACTTAGAGCAAGGAAGTTATTCACATGCAGGCAGCCACACCTGGCTGGGAACACCACTTCCCAGCCTGGGAATGAGCAAACGAGGCAGCCGCGTTCGCATCCGGCCACGCTTCCTCCTCACAACTGTTAGGAGCAACAGGCAAGGGGCCCTTAGGAACCTGGGGACAACTGGAGAGAGGCAAAGGCCACCCCCCCGACTGCCCCATCACTGCAGCCCCCATCCCAGCAGGTGCCCCCGCTGCCGAAGCTGCTTTTTCAGGCATCAGAGTGGAAAGTTGGGCAGGAAGTTTGCGGGCAGTGGCCAAGACTCGCTGAAGCAGCCCCAGCGCTCACGCCGTGCACGAGCAGGTAGAGCGGCTGCCGCCAGCCACCAAGATTTTCCATTGTTTATCATGTTCTCAAGTGGGTCAAGCCTGCTTTGAACGAGAGCCGAGAACAGCACGAGAGCTCACGAGGATGCAGCTTGTGCTCACCAAGCTCCTGAGCTGAGCTCGGAGCTCCAGAAGGAGCACTGGGACCCAGCCCCTTGCTACCCTCCTCCTGCCTCTCAGCAGCCACTGCAAAGCCACAGGATGAAGCACAACTTCCTCACGGGGGTTGCTGCAGAATGCAGCTCTCCCCAGCCCTGGGTACATGCATAGAGCAGGCAGGGCTGAACAGACCCCATCCCCATCAAGCCACAGTACTCTGCACACAGCAGCACTTACATGACACAGCCCAGGGACCACACATCCGACTCGGGCCCGTGGCCCTGCCGCAGCAGCACTTCAGGGGCCAGGTAGTTGGGGGTCCCACATATTGTCCTGCGGGAGAGCACTGGGTCAGCACGTGCTTTGCATCCCTTGGCCACCAGCCTCTTCCCCACCTGAGCCCTCAGTTCTAGCTTGCAGGCAGTTCTATTCCCTCCCATTTTGTTCTTTGGGAGCAAGAGGCTCCATCCCTCAACGAGAGCCCATGCACACACTCCCTCCCCCAGCTCCCGGGGGTCGGGAGCAGCTGCTCCTGGAGAGCCGTTGGGAAGAGCTTGTCCCCAATACAGCGGGGAACAGAGCCTTTGTGTCCCCAGCCCCGCACACCCGGCAGGGCAGCGCGGCAGGCACAATAGCCTTAGTGAACACATTGTTCTCCGACGGCTGCCAGCTCCTTCCTGGAGGAGCCGCGCAAGCCCTTCGCCCCCCTCTCCGCCCGCAGCCGCAAGCCCCGGCAGCTGGGACCATAATGGCCCTGCCACACTCACAGCCGGGAGGGCAGCTTGCCCCTCTGCTCGGGAGGCTGGCTGGGAAGGGGAAGATGAGCCCTTGGAGGGCAGCTCTGCAGCAGGGAACTCAGACTCACTTTTTCTTCTGGTCAGAGATATCCTGGCAAGCAGCAAGACCAAAGTCTCCCACTTTCAACTCCATGTTCTCGTTGATGAAGAAGTTGCCTGCAAGGCAAGAGTGATGCATCAGCACTAGTCACTACAGCACAGCCCCGTGCCCAAGCAGCTCTTTGCCCCAACAGTAGCACTCACCCAGCTTGAGGTCCCTGTGTAGGATGCCCTTGAGGTGGAGGTATTTCAAGCCTGAGATGATTTGTTTGAGGTAGTAGCGCACTTCTGGTTCCAGCAGAGTGTGTCGGGCCTTCCAGATGTGAGCCAGGGACTGCAGAAGGAATTAAGGTAGTTAGGCAACTGCAAGCAGGGAGAAAAGGCATCTGTACCCATTAGGCAACCGGCAGGCAAAAGCCAGTTCTTCCAGAAGTCACACATATACAAATAATCCTTCTGCCATGGCCATGAACTCCAAGCATTGAGCTCATCATGGGATGCTCAACACAGCCCATGGATTTATGGGTGGCACCATAGTGACTATAGGTTACCAAGGCAAGCAGATACAAGGCAGACAACCTGAGGTGTCTCCAGCATGAGCAAACAGCTTATGGCTGAGCAGGGTTAGCTCAGAGGGTGGAACAAAGCAGGTAACAGCAGAAAGCAGGACAGAGTGCGCTAACACAGGTCCACAGGCACCAGCTACCTGTGGCTCACTTTATGGGAGGCTTTGTCAGTCAGCGCTCACCTTCCTGCTGCAGTGCTCCAGGAAGATATAGATGCTCTCGGAGTCCTCAAAGTGATGGGAGAACTTGACAATGTGCTTATGGTGCAAGTCCCTATGCAGCTCAATCTCGTTGGTGATCTGAAACGGGGCAGAAGCCGCAGGTGAGCGCAGGGCTCTCGCTGCACCCCAGCCAGCCAGGCAACCCTTTGGGCCAGCCCACAGCACCCACCTTCTCCCGCTGGTGGGGTTTAGCCACCCGGCTGTGAGGAATGACCTTCACTGCATAGGTTTTGTTGCTCGAGAGGTCTGTCATTTCGTAGCATCGCGCGAAGCCTCCCTGCAAAGGCACAGAAGGTTAGGGACGAGCAAGAGGGCTCTTGCACTTGCCTCAGCCATGTGGGGGTTATGAGTCTCCTCAGCTGTTTCCTTGCAGCACAGAACCCAGAAAATATCACAAACCTCCCTCCCTCCCACAACAGCACCCACTAAGATCTGAACTACTGAGCTCTCCACTAGCGATTTTCTTTAGTCAGTTCCTGTAAAGTCTCCCAGGAGGTTTTCCTCCCACCAGGGCAAGACTGCGCAGCTTTCCACATGACGGAGCAGCCGGAAAGCCCTGCACCAGGCAGGAAAGTAGAACAGGCTGGGAGATTTGAGGCCACCGAGAGCAAGCAGCGCGGGGACAGGTTTTTCCTGCCGTGATGTCAGCCGCGGATCTGCACACTCAGCTGCTGAGCCGCCTGGCCGCGCCGGGGCTGCCTCCCACGCGCCGCCCCGAGCCGGGAACGCGGCTCCCACGCGCAGCCCCGAAACCCGCGCGGTAGGGTGGGCCGCCAGCCCCGGGACTCACGGCCCCAGGGACGGGCTGGGGGGGATTCTTCACTCCCACCCGAGTCGCAGCCGGCCGCGGCGGCCCCCGGGCCGTGCCCCTGCCGCCCCCCGGGGCCCGGTACCTTGCCGAGGAGGCGGCCTCTGCAGTAGGAGCGGCCCGAGAGCGGGTCCGTGATGATGCGGGTGGTCTCGGTGGCGCGGGGCGGCAACGTCGGGGAGGCCTCGGGACGGTCCTGAGGCAGGCGGGCGGCGGGGAGGGGCGGGTAGAGGCCGGCGGACTCCATGGCGCGGCGGAGCGGGCTCTCGGGACGCGGGGCCGGTGCCGCGGGGCCCGCGCACGTGGTGCCGCCGCTGCCGCCGCGCGCGCCCGTGGGGCGGCAGGGAATCCCGCCGCCTTTATCAATGGGCGCGTGACGTCACCGCGCCCCGCCCCCCCGCCGCTCTTAAAGGGGCAGCCGCAGCGCGGGTTCGGGGGGAGAGACGGCACGGCACGGCACGGCACGGCACGGCACGGCACGGCACGGCACGGCACGGCACGGCACGGCACGGCACGGCACGGCACGGCACGTCCTGCTTCTCCCTTTCTCACGTCCTGCGTTACCCAAGACTCGAGGGCACCCTTTGCTACACACAATATAGATACATGACATATATATACATACAGTATATATATATATATCTGTGTGGGGGTGTATGTACATATATATACATAGTATATATGTATCAGAGACAGCCACATATGGGCATGCAGCCCCCGTAGATATACCCTCCTCTCACCAGTAGATATACCCTCCTCTACCATCTACAGATGGTAGATACAGAGAACCCCCCCATAGACACACAGTTCTCCCAGACAGGCACTTATAGACATCTGCCACCCGCCCCCATAGACACAGACCAGGCACCTATAGACATGCGCCACCCCCATAGACAAGCACCCACTAACACAGTCCTCCCTGGCCAACCTCCGACACAGGGGTTCCCCATAGTCGCACACCCTCAAAGCCACCCCCCAGGGACCTCCCCACAGACACGGGAAACCCCATAGGCAGAGCCTGTTTCCCCAGGGAGGTGAGGACCCCCCATCACATCAACCCCAGGGGCTTGGGTTTCCCCCAGGCAAGACCCAAGGAGAGGGGTCCCTGAGCTGCTGGGTTCACCTAAGTGGGTGACACAGAGCTCACAGACACCCTCTGCACCCGCTGTCCACCTTGGGGCTGGTGGCCGAGGAGGGCAAGGCTGATAGCAGAGCACCGAGCATGGCTTGGAGCCCTGCTGGCCCTGGGGTGGCCGGAGAGGTCAGCGGCACCGACCCGGGTAGCGGCCACGGGACCCACCAGCGGCCATGGGGACACACCAGCGGCCATGGGGACACACGTGGGTCGGGACAAGCCCGGGCATCTCCTGCTGCCGCGTGTCCCCTGGCGCTGGCGTGGCCAGCAGGGCAGACGTGCGGACACTGCACTGCTGCTCTCTAATGGCCATGAACAGGACTGTCATGGGACATGACAGTCATGGAACTGCGGCCACGCGGGTCTGGGATCCGCGGGTCCCCTGTGAACTTGGGAACCTTCGCAACCTCCCACTGCTCACAGCCCAGGCAGGGGAAGCCACCACAGTGGCAGGGGGATCCCCACCTCAGCATCACCTCAAACAGCGCACGGGCCCCAGTGGCTGCACTGCCCCTCGCGAGCCGCCCTGTTGTGTGGCTCACAGGCTCGCTGCCTGCAAGTCCCATGCTTCGTGACTCAGTTTCCCCTTGCCGTGCTCCCCTGAGGCAGCCTGGGCTCTGCTCACAAGTGCTCGGTGGGTTTTCAGGGGTTTTGCATGAGGGTTTTGCATGAGTGCAGCCCAGTCAGATACTTCACAGCGCATCTCCTTTCACCCCCGGGACACGGGGAGACCTCAGAGCCCTCTCTCCCTGCAGGGAAACACAGCTCCCTGCAGCTCTCCGCTGCCCCATCTCTGGTTTTTGCTCAAGTTTCCAGCTTCCGCACAGGAAGCGCATGCAAACCGGCTGCCCTGGCAGCAGGCAGGGAGGCCTCTGAAACCAGCCCGTTTCCACCGGGGCCCCAGGCTCCCCAGGCGCCGGCAGCGTCACGGGGCAGCTGCTTTTCCGACGGAGGCCCCGGCTCGGAGGCTGCCGGGAGCTCCCCTGGCAGAGCTGAGTCAGCGTCTGGAGGCACCGGGTGGGTGGAGGCTCCCGGTGCGGCTGGAGGCCCCCGGGACCTGCCCAGGGCAGCAGGGTGGAGCGGAGCAGGGCCTGCCTGGGGGGACACTGCAGGGAGCAGCCGTGACTCCCACGGATCAGCGAGGGAGAGCCGGGAGCAGCTCCCTCCTCCCCGCTCTGCCCTGGACTCAAGAGGATGAGCTGAGCCAGAGCAAAAGGCTTGGAAACCGCTCCCTGACTCTCTCCTTGCCAGAGGCCCAGCACAACTTCTCACACTAATGGCCAGGCAGCAGCCTGAGCTGCTGGGTATTTGCACATCCCACCGTGGGCAGGGATGCTGCAGGAGAGTCCCTCACCACCCCAGGCAGGCTCCAGCACCCTGTTACAGCTGAAAATGCTCATCCAGCTGGGATTTGTCCCATGCATCAAGTGTGGGGATGGGGATGGGGAGGGGAGGGGGCAGGACAGTCTGCTCTGCACAGAGAACGCTTTGGGGTGACCTCACTGCTTCCTGCAGGTGTTTGAAGGGAGTTACAGGGAAAACGGAGACCTGCTCTTCTGGGAGGTGCACAGTGAAAGCATGAGAGGCAACAGACACATGTTGCATCAAGGGAAATTCCAGCTACATGTTAGGAAACTTTTCCATACAAGCGCGGAAGTGGGATCTCCATCCTTCACAAGATCCGGAACTTGTTTGGACAAAGCCTGAGCGCCCTGGTCCAAACCTGAAGCTGGACCTAATATCAAGACTAGCCTTGCTGTGTGGGTGATGCTTGTCCTGAGCAGCCACTGCAGGGCAGGCAGGGTCTGGGGACAGGGTGGCTCTCCAGGATGAGGGACAACAGCCCCGACCCTCTCCCAAGCAGGGATTTTCCCTCGCTCCGAGCTCTGGCTCCTGCAAAACCCAGGCCTGCAGCACTGGAGGAGGAGGGAGCGAGTGGGTGGCAGGTGCCCCTGGGAAGGCAAGTGCTGAAGCAGAGGAGATGAACGGCCCCGGGGGCTCACGGGGCTGCGAAGTGGGAGCTGCAGAGCCGGGCAAACCTGCCAGCATGGAGAGATGAAAGGATGCGGATCTGTCCGGTTTAAGGAGGAGGCGCTTAGATCTGGGGTCAGATGTAAAATTCCCAAGCTGGCAGATCCCTCTCTCACCACCCCCCAGGCAGGACAGGATCCCCCATCCCTGGGACAGGATCCAGCTACCTGCCCGGCTATGGAGCCAGGTGTGGGGGTTGCGGGGCTGGCTGCAGTGCTGTCACAGGGACATCAGAGGGACCTTTCCAGCTGGCGGTGCCCATGGCCCTTGCACAGAGTGCTGGCAGTTCTGGCACCATGTTCAGTAGTGTCCAGACCCTCGTCCCTCCCCTGGCCAGGTGCTGAAACTTCCCAAACTGCTGCCTCCTGCCACCCAGCTGGCAGAAGAAATTGAGCTGGGTTCTGGCTTCCCTTCCCACCCTGTTTCTGTTTCCCTGGCTCCGCTTCCCAACAGAAATCCCCTGGCACAGAGCACACTGCTGCTGGTTGCTATGTTTGCAGCGTTCACTGCGGAGCACGCAGAGTTGCCTCTGCCCGGGCACCCGCCTTCACGTGGGGCCTTGCAGTTCCTGCCCCGGCTCCCCATGCCGTGGGGCAGGACTGGGCACCAGCGCTCTGGGCTGTGCTGGAGGGGTCTGCCAGGTCCCACTGCCAGCGCCTGTGCTGGGGTTTCTCACGTTGCTGGGTTGGGAGAGACCTGAGCGAGGTGCATGGACGTGGGCGATGGACCTGCAGTGACAGGAGGCGCTTCTGCTGCGCTGCAGGTGACTCACAAGAGGCTGGAGCCTCCTCAGATGAGCAAGAGCCCTGTGCTGGTGGCCTAGGGACAACTTGGCAACGCACTATGCCACATAACGCTGCATGTGCAGCTGGTGTTCATGCTCTTTTGCGCCCCAAAATAGTCTGAAGGGCAGCCCTCAGAGCCTGGGGGGCCTCTTCCATCTCCCACCACCAGCAAGTACTGGTTGCAAAGTGCCGTTGGTGACACTCCGTGTGCCTGAGTTTATCTGATTCCCTGAGGCAGCATTTGCACTGTGGGCTCCACACACACACTCCAAGGGTGTGGAAAAGCAGGGCCCCTCTCCAGAAGTGTTAGTGCCGATCTGCGCTTTTCCTGTGGGTTGTGGCGCTCATTTCCAGGCCCGGCTCCTCCTTCCACTGCCTCGGACTTGTGCAGGGTGGAAGGAAGTTGTAATGGGCCCAGTGACGAGAGGGAGGCTGATCCGTGGATCCCGATCCCGCAGGCATGTCCACCCTGCACCGCTGGACTGGCAATCGCGCTGCACACGCAGGTGGGACCCTGCTGCACATGCAATAGCCCTGTCCTGGAAGGAGGGGAATTCAGCAGAGCCCAGGCTGGCAGAAAGCTGGAGTGTTGGGGGCTGGAAGGGGATGTGGTCTGGGGGGAGCTGACTTGTTGGGGAGAAGAGGGGATGCATTTGGGGAGAGGCTGAAAAGGCTCATGGCTTCTGGAGGTAGAGGGAGGAAAGGAGGGTCTGGAATAGGGGCACTGAAGGGGCTTGTGACTCAGGGGTGGAGGACAGAGAAAGGGGGACCAGGGAGTGGGTTGAGTGTAGGCATGGGGGGAGCTGTGGCTCTCGGGGTGCCAGGGCACAGTGGGACTGAAGGGGGCAAGGAAGTGGGGCACAAGGGGGCCGAGGGAGACGGTGTCTCATGGAGGAAGGTGGAAGGCAGATGGAGAGGCTGGAGAGGAGAAAGGGTGCAGGGGGCAGCGGGAGACAAGGTGCTAGGCTGGAGGGGATGAGACACGGTGGCCAGGGGAGGAATGGGGAGCAGGGCTGGAGGGGATAGGGCGCAGGGCTGGAAGGGGACCGGTGCTGGGGCTGGAAGGGGATCGCTCTGGGGCTGGCGGGGCCGGTGCCGGTGCCGGGGCTGGGTGCGGGCGCGGCGGGGCCGCCCCGCGGCGGGCGGAGCCAGGTGAGAGCGGGTGGCGGGGCCGGCCCCGCGCTGCCCCCCGCGGGACACGAGCGCGGCCGGGGGAGCCGGCCCCGTCGCCTTGGGCCGGCCCTGCGGGGAGCGGGGTCTGCAGCGACCACCCGGGTCCGGCCCCGCCGGGCGCTGCAGGGGCGGGCGCAGGAGCCGGGTGCCCCCGGGGTCCCTGGGGCACAGGGAGCAGCGGGGTCACCCATCCTCTGCTCCACTCCCTCCACAGGCCCGGCGCTGCAGACCATGCCCCTGTGGGGCAGCCTGCTGCTCACTGCCAGCCTTGCCCTGGAGCCAGCTCCGGAGCAGGATGTCCCAGCAGCACCGGAAAGCTGCAACTGCACAGGGCCCATGGACTTCCAGGACTTCCAAGCGGCTCCGCTGTCTGAGACCTGCTGCCTCAACTTCACCAGCTCCAACATCACCCGCCTGGACTGGGGCACCGTGGCGGGGGTCCGGGGGCTGCGAGAGCTCTATCTCTCTCACTGCAGCATTACGGCCATCAGCAATACCCAGGTGGTCACCCCTACCTTGGAGGTCTTGCACTTAAGTCACAACCAGCTGGAAAGTCTCCCTGGAAGCTTTTTGGAAGATGCCCCTAATTTGAAGGTCCTTTATTTGGACAGAAACCAGCTCCAGGAGTTGCCCGAGTCCTTCCTGAGAGCATCGACTCAGGTTCAGGAGGTCTACCTGGGCTTCAATGCGTTAACTTTCCTTCCTGCTGGCCTCCTGCGGCCCTCTCTGCTGCAGCTGCAGCTCTCCAACAACAGCTGGGACTGCAGCTGTGCTCTGCTCAGCACCCTAAGGAGCTGGCCCAGCCTGCACGTCGAGCTCGTGTGCCACACGCCGGAGCGGTACCGCGGCGCCGACCTCCAGAGCATCCCCCGGGACGAGCTGTGCCACTCGCACAGCCTCACCGCCCTCTTCATCTGCCTGCCCCTGCTCCTCATCCTCGCCAGCGTCGCCTGCTGCTTCTGCAGGCGGAAGAGAAAGACCCACTATAGTTTCCAGAGCAGGCCCGAGAGCCACCTCGCCATGGCAGAGCCGGGCAGCGCAGCGGCGCCCGCAGAGCCCCACCACTACGTCCCCTACGAGCTGCCAGCTGCCCCGGCCGACTCCGAGAAGGGGCTGCTGGGGAGCCAGCTCCTGCTCCAGCCCTCGGCGGCCCTGCTGGACAGCGGCAAGGACCTCTATGAGGAGGTGGAGATCCGGGTGGGATCCTCCAGCGGTGCCCTCGTGCCGGCCAGCGCCGGGCAGCCGGACACGGAGCAGGACCCCCCGGCATCCCCAAGGGCAGAGGAGCTGTCGGGCAGCGCGGCAGAGGCAGAAACCGTGAGCGTGAGCGAGGTGCTGAAGGACTCAGCCGACCGGGAGAAGATGTACATGAGCCAGTCGACCAACTATTACAACCTGGTGCCTGGCATCGAGCTGGAGGACTCGGACAACCTGGAGTATGAGAACATCGACCTGCACTGAGGCTTGGCTGGGACTCAGGGCTGCGTCCTGGCCAGCCTGGCAGGATGACAGGGAACTGGGATGTGCCTACGGCCGGCAGTGAAACCCAGCAGAGCAGGAGGGTTCGAGCTGTCCTGCATTGGCTTGTACCAGCTCTTTGCAGAGCTGCACCCCAAATTCCCCTCCTCATCCCTGTGCCAGTGCCTGCACCCTGTGCTGGCCATGCCGTGTCCTCCCTGTGCTCTTTGGGGCAGGGGCGCCCGGAGGTCAGGCACCGGTGGCTGCAGCGGTGTCTGAGGAAGGAGCTGGGCTGGCTGCGGTGGGCTTGGGGAGCAGGCAGCAGAGCTCTGCCCTAGGCTCAGGCTGCAGCCTTCGATGCCATGGAGCATGCTGCGTCCGGGCTCCGTGGCATCCTGCACAGATCTGCTGCTTGCCAGCCCCGGATAACAGGGTCCGCAGGCCCTGAATGCATGGGCAGGGTGCCCCAGCCCAGCAGGGACCCATTGCAAGGGGGAACCCGTCAGGACCCTGCCTGCTCAGCAGGGCACCCTGGCCCCAAAGCACAGCGGTCGGGGTGCTTTGCCAGGTGCTGGCTGTCAATAAGAAATAAACCATTTTGTTCCTGCTGTTGCCATGTCTGCTGGTTTCCAGGCATCAGGGATGCCACCAGCCCTGGGTTGAGTCCTGGAGAGAGTCCTTTTATAAGCATCACTGGGGAGCACTCCTCACAGCTCCTGAGAGCCTCCCGCTCTGTTCTGTGGAGGCTGCATGGAGCTCTGCCCCTGCTTCCCCGCTGCATGGAGCTCTGCTCCCGCTTCCCTGCTGCATGGAGCTCTGCTCCCGCTTCCCTGCAACATTGCAGCCGCCCCGGGGCAGCCTTCAGCCCTGCCCTGCAGCCTGGCACTCCCGGAACCTCTGCAAAAATGTGCGGTGCCAGCGCTGAGCCCCGCTGTGATTTACAGCCCTGCAGAGGAAGCTGTAAATAAGGGCTTTGCCAGCTCCGGCTGAGTGCTGTTGAGCTCCTGGGAACCAGGGGAAAGGCACTGGGTGTAAATCACCTCCTGGCCTGGCGCTTCCCGGTGCATGGCACCCATGGGTGCCCATGGGGGGACATTGATGCCTGTGTCTGCCACCCTGCTCAGGGGGACACCCGGGCTGGAGCCCGTTGGCCACCCCGCTCGGCAGCGCAGAGTCGCCCTGGGGCCCGGCGGGACCGCGGGCAGGAAGGGACGGGCAGGGCAGGACGTGGTGCTGCATCCAGCAGCGGAAACGGCGCTTCCTGCAGAGCCGCCGCTGCTCCGGCCCTGGCGCGGCTCCGCTCAGCCCCGCTCCGGCACGGGCAGCGCGGCACTGCACAGGGCACCCCCGGCACGGTGACAGGGGGACATCCCACCCGCAGGGCTCTGCAGGTGCCGTGTGGCCTGGGCACGAGGGCAGGGTTTTACTGCGAGCGCCTCTGTTACACACGGATGTTTCCCAGTGGTTTATGTCCCGCTGGAATTTGCTCTTCCAGCTGCTTCTCCAGCCCTGGGAAAGTGGCCCTGTGCCAGACACAGACAAGCCCCGCAGCCCCGGACAGCCCCCGCTCTGCCGCCCAGCCCAGCCCCGGGTGTCCCCGAGCTGCCCGGGGGACACGGAGGGACAGGGAGCCCCGTGCTGCCCCATTGCAGCAGGGCAGGCAGAGGCACTGCCCTAGGGCAGTAAAAAATACATTTTCCCCCCATGCTTCATAAATCCCGACAGCTCTCCCTGCCCCCTCGGTGCCCGCTCTGCCTGCAGCCCCAGGGGCACCTTCCCACGACTCATCCTTCCACTCCTGCCCCTTTTTCTCATGGAGCCGTTTGGCCTCTGCAGCAGCGGTGGCCAACAGCCCACATCTCCTCACTGGCCCTGGCAGCAGCAGCCCCACGGGACTCGCTCCGGCTGTGGCCGGTTCCCTGGAGGTGGGACCTACCGGAGCTCCCCATTCCTGTGACAGCCCAATCCATCATGCGGGTGCTTGGCCGTGTGGGCCGGGCTGGTATTTAGGGGATGAGGTGCAGGCGGGACGGGAGAGGAGGCAGAGAGGGCAGGTAGGGAGCGGGCAGGGGATGGGGAAGGGCAGGGAGGACCCTGACGGTGGGCAAGGATATGGCCAAGGGGAAAGAGGAAGCCCACGTGGCCCTCAGGTGACACCTCCGTCCATCTGTCCACCCCAGCTGCAGCACCGAGGCCCATGCTGTGCCACGATGACCGTGTCCTACACGCTCAAAGTTGCCAACTCCCGCTTCGGGGGCTTCTCCAAGCTGCTCTTCCGCTGGAAAGGCAGCATCTACAAGCTGCTCTACAAGGAGTTCATCGTCTTCGTGGTGCTCTACACGGTGCTGAGCCTCCTGTACCGGTGAGCGGGGACCAGCACATCCCCACTGTGGCCCGTGCCGGGGATCCTCCGGGAGGCTGGGAAGAGCCTTGGTGGTGCCATTGCCTGCGGCATGTCCCATTGCTGTGCTGGGGAGGGGGAAGTGCCCGGGACACCCCCGGCAGGGCAGCGAGGGGATGGGCAGGGGGGTGACGACTCTGTGCGGAGGGGACGGGAGCCCTGCGCGCCCCTGACCCGCTGCCGGCCCACGGCAGGTGCCTGCTGAGCCAGGAGCAGAAGCGCCTCTTCACCAAGGTGGCCCAGTACTGCAACCGCTCCACGGACCTCATCCCCATCTCCTTTGTCCTAGGTACTCCTCGCACACAGGTGCCCCGTTCCCGCCGGCACCAGCGGCTCCAGGCTGCTCCCAAAGAGCTCTCAGGCTGTGGGAAGGGAGGAGGGCCGGGGATACCCGGGGAGGGCACTCCAAGGGAAGCCCAACGTGCTCTTTACCCGCCTGCTGTTGAGAAACCCACCACCCCTAGAAACCTGGCAGCTCTTGCATGGGTTCCTCCTTGTCCCAGCTCACCGCCCCGCTCCAACAAGCCTTGCTTTGACACGCAGGACAAGCTGGCTTAGCTGCCACCCCAAGCCCCCGCTGGGTGCTCAGGATCCCCGCACTGTCTCGTGGTGCAGGTTTCTACGTCACCCTCATTGTGAACCGGTGGTGGGCCCAGTACACGAGCATCCCGCTGCCCGACCAGCTCATGTGTGTCATCTCCAGCAACGTCCACGGCAAGGACGAGAGGGGCCGGATCCTGCGGCGCACCCTGGTCCGCTACGCCAACCTCTCGGCTGTGCTCATCCTCCGCTCCGTCAGCACCCGTGTGCTCAAGAGGTTCCCCACCATGGACCATGTGGTGGAAGCGGGTGAGAGCGAACACGGGACAGCTTGGTGTGGAGGGAAGGAGGTCCTGGAGATGCTTTCAGGACACCTTTTCCCCACCAGCACTGGGTGCTGAGCCTCCCCCGGGCTTGCCCCTTCGCCGGCCACAGGTTTCATGACACAAGACGAGCGCAAGAAGTTTGAGAGCCTCCACTCAGACTTCAACAAGTACTGGGTGCCCTGCGTGTGGTTCACCAACCTGGTGGCGCAGGCGCGACGGGACGGCCGCGTGCGCGACGACGTGGCTCTCCGCTTGCTCATGGACGTGAGTGGCCGCGGGGCGCGCGGGCTCCGCGCCAGGCCCGGCCTAACCCGGCCCCGCGCTCTCTGCGCAGGAGCTGAACCTCTACCGCGCCAAGTGCAGCATGTTGTTCCACTACGACTGGATCAGCATCCCGCTGGTCTACACGCAGGTGGGTGGCCCCCAGCTCAGACCTCAGTATGAAATGGTCTTCTCCTCCCCACTGCGATGGAGGACCCACGGCAGCCTCCTTCCTCCACCCTGCCAAGGGTCTCCCTCTCCCTCCCCCTCTATAAAAGCGCTTTATTCCCCTGTTAATTCTGCTCGGGGGCAGCAACGTGCGGGATCAGAGGGCAGGAGGAGGCTGCAAGGCAGTTGCCCCTGGGCAGTTTCTGGTGGGGTCCCGAGCACACGATGCCCTGAGCAAGCATTCAAGAGCTGCTAAGAGCTCCCACAGGGAGCCCCGCTCGGCTCCTTCCCAGGCGGAGCGGCCCCGGGAGCCTCCGCTGATCCGGGCTCCCGGCAGGTGGTCACCATCGCGGTCTACTCCTTCTTCGCCTTCTGCCTCATCGGGCGGCAGTTCCTGGAGCCGCTGGAGCCGGGGCAGGAGGGGGAGCTGGACATGTACGTGCCCCTCTCCACCCTCCTGCAGTTCTTCTTCTACGCCGGCTGGCTCAAGGTGCGGCGGCCGCCCCAGCCGTGGGAAGGTGCCCGCGTCCCGGGTCCCTCCCCGTCCCCAGTGCCCCTGTCTCACCCAGCCGCCCCCCTCCCCAGGTGGCAGAGCAGATCATCAACCCTTTTGGGGAAGATGACGACGATTTTGAGACCAACAAGCTGATAGATCGGAACCTGCAGGTGGGTCCCACGTCACCAAGCGGGGCAGCCCCTTGTCCCACGGCTCCGGCTCGTGTCCTTGCCAAGCCCCCCATCCCCTGCCCGTGTGCTGCCCAGGTGTCCCTGCTGTCCGTGGACGACATGTACCAGAACCTGCCGCCGGCCGTGAAGGACAAATACTGGAATGAGTCTGCGGCGCAGCCCCCCTACACCACGGCCACGGCCGCCGAGACCTTGAAGCCCTCGTTCCTGGGCTCCACCTTCGACATGTGGTGAGTGCGCGTTGCCGCTGCGGTGCCGGGTGTCCCTGCGGGATCCCTTGTGGCCACGTGTCCCTGCGGTGGCGTGGGGCGGCCCTGGGCACTCAGTGGCCACGTCCCTGCTGCACTGGCCCCCAGGAGCCCTGGTGCAGCGTGGAGGGTCTGCACCCCGAGTCTGCAGCGGGAAGGGCTGGGCAGCGCTCGGGAGGCTCCAGCACAACCGGGCTCGTCCCCCTGGGCGCAATTACAGCAGGCAAACAGCAAACCTGCCTTGGCACCGCGCTGCTCGGCCCCGCGGGGCTGCTCAGGGCGATGGAGGAGCCGTGGCGACATGAGTGCAGGCAGAGCTGCCCTTGGTTTGCAAGCACGTCCAGGCAGGACCGTGAGTGGCCGTGGGTGTCTAGCAGCCAAACTGGAGTTTGCACCCAGCGGGAGAGGGGCCTCTTTCCCAAAGGGTCCCCGGGTACCCCCATCACCTGCACCCCACTGTTCCCCCCAGCATGTGCGAGGAGCCGGAGCAGAGCCAGCCGGGCGAGGCGCTGCCGAGCTCGCCGCGTGTGTACACGCCGCTGCTCGCCCGCTTCCTGGCCGCCGCGTCCCCCGCCAGCCTCAGGAGCCTGGCCCGCGGCGGCCGAGCCCACGCGCAGCCGCGGCGGCCCCGGGCCGGCAGCAGCTCCCCGTCCCCCCGCGCCAGCCGCCCCGAGGACCCCGCGGCGGCGGCTGCCATCGAGGAGGAGGACACGGAGGATGAGGAAAGCCAGGCCGGCCAGGCCCTCGTGCCCGGCGGTCGCCTGAACGCCCCGCAGCTGCCGCAGAAGGAGGAGCTGCCGCAGATCCAGGTGAAGGTGCCGTCCAGCGAGAGCCTCAGCACAGACCATCGGGATGCTGTGGAGCTGCCGTGATGCTGCCGTCTGCAGCCCTCGCCCCGGGGGACACGGGGCTCCCCCAGGCTCCAAGATGCTGCCATGGGCAGCCGTGAAGCTCCTTAATCCCAGATGCTTCCCCTTGTCCCCCCCATCCAGAAGGTACGCACCAGGTCTTTCACCACCCTAACGTGAGTCAAGCTTTACCCTAGCTGATGGCAAGATCCCGGGGGTTTAGGACTGGGCACACAGCATCCAAAGTCAAAATACCTCAAGGTTCAGCCCATCGGTGTGATGATCCTCCTGAGCTGCAGCTGGCTCAGGCTTCCTGCTGCCAGGCCCAGCATGGGGACAGGGGATGGCCTAAGCAAGACATCGGGCACTAGTCCTGGAGAAAAATCAACACCATGATGGAGATATTCCCTTGATATTAATAAACTTACTGCCAGCCTTAGCTCTGAGGTTCTTTCTTGTTGATGCAAATGATCCCCAGAATTGAGACGATCAGGAACATCTCATTTGTCCAGAAAGTCAGGGAGTTCAGAATTAAAGTACAGTTGTCAAGGACCATGCATGGTCTCCTGGGACAATAAGGGAACTGCTGTGGTTGGATGACACCAGTGAGGTCTGTGGGATTCAATTTTACTGCTATTAGATCAAATAAAAAATAAATAAATAAATAAATAAAGCCTTTCAGGTCCTGTAGATGGATTCCCACACCCAGACACATGTCTGTTTTTCCTGAGGTTCAGGATAACAGCTAACCTCACCGGGGATAAATTGTGGTCTGTTTATTATGCAAAAAGAAGCTTCATTAATTCAGCCCTTGCAACAATCTACAAAACTCGGTAAAGTCTTTAAACCTGCCTTGGAAAAGGGTGTCCCCTCCTTCAAGCCAGTCCAACTAACGCTGTGTGCAAGCCCGGCTAGTCACACGCACTCCCCTTTCTGGCTCAGTGCATTCCAGACCTCCCTTTTCCCAGGCAGGTAAATCGCTGCACGCATCTATGGCGCTACGCCAGCGCCAGGTTAGCAGCAGCGGGTCCTATTTTCAGGCTGTACGAGGTCCTGCAGCGTGTGTCACTGTGGGAGCCAGCGGGGCTCATGCCCCGACCCGCTGCCACCCTGTCGCGTTCCCACGTCACACCTAGCGCGTGGCTCCGGGGGCTGGAGCTGCAGGGCTGGAGCTGCAGGGCTGGAGCTGCAGGGCTGGCCCCTGCAAAGCGCCTCTTGTTCCCACGGCCGCTGCCCTCAGCAGCCGCAGTCAAGTCAGGTGCTTGGTAGGCACCGTGCAGTGATGAATTGGGTATAAATCTGCTCGTCAGGAGGCAGGGTTCCTGCATTGACATTAACCTGGTGCTAACTCTGTGAAGCTCCATTTCTCCGTGTGTGCAAAGTCCCCCTGGAACACCCTGACTCGTGTTTGCACTTTGTGGAGGGGAGAGAAGAAACAAGCGGAGAGGAAGCAGACGTGACGCATCTCGCCCCGGCGCTCCTTATCGCAGCCACTGCACCTCCTGGCAACGAGGGCGGCTGCTGGAGAGCAGGGAAAGTTTACCCGGGATCACTATGGAGCAGGAATGTGCTTGTGCAAACATGACGCCTGGGTGCGGGCCAGCTCCCAGCGCGGGCGCAGAGCGGAGCTGCGAGGGCTGTGCTGACAGCCCAGCCGTGCTGCTCTTGCAGTGACGTTTTGATGTGGTCGGTGTGTTCACAAACACAGCACAGACCTGTCTCTGCCCCGGCCTCTGAGGCACCTGCAGGCTGCAGTGCTCAGGGTGCCTTGGCCCGCGAGCTCCTCCTGCTGCACACGCCGCGCTCGGGCAGGACAGCGCGGGAAAAGCAGCTTGGGACCTGCCGAGGGCCAAGGGATTATTCGGGGGGCGAAGTCTCCTCCAAGGCCCCAGGGACACACAGCAGTGCCCAGCGCCGAGCTGCCCGCTGGATACAGGCACCTTGACCTGCACACACCTCTCCATCGCGGTGCTGCTCGGGCCTGAATGATCGTGGGTTATTTCCCTGGGTTCAGAGCGGAAAACTGAAGCCCAGGCAGTGGGCATTCCTCCTCACCCAGGAGCTCCTGCGAGGAATGAGGCTTCTGTAAAAAAACAGTCCGAGCAGGGTCATGAGTGCACTGTGTGCACTTGGCAAGCATAAAGAAGTAAGTGAAGTCCGGCCTCTCTCCACTCCTGCAAGGGCTGGCCCTTAGAACAGCTCAGTTCCTTCACCTAAAAACCACATCCAATATTTCTCAACTGGCAGTGGAGTTTTATCTCACTGACCTTCTCCAAATATAGCAGCCCTACAGAGAATTGGCTTCTCCAGCTTTTTTTTTTTTTAAGGGAGGAAAAAAGGGGGAAGTGGTTAGTGTCATTTTGTTCACCATGGCTTTCCAATCCCCCCAAACACAACGGGGCAGGATGCTGGCACTTGTACCCAGCTTTCGAAAGAGCCAGACCACAGGTAGAGCCTGGCCCTTCTGCTAGAAGGAATTCATCTCGCACCGGAATGAGACCGAGGAGGTCAGGGAAAGACCAGCTGGTCACTCAGCAGTGCAGGAAAGGTTAGCTCGAAACAAGGACCCAACAGGACCCAAAACACAAGGATGCAGTCTGAAGGATTGAGGAAAAGGGTAAAAGGTGCAGCTGGCCCAAACCTGTCGAGGACTAAGTGTGATCTGGAAGGAACAGACAGCAGGTGCCAGTTGCAGAAACAAGTGGAGTTAAATCTAAGTTTTCAGTTTTAAATATCGTTACAATCACAAGTGTGAAGAATGTGAGAAATGGGAGTGCTGCAGCTCCAAAACAGAGCAGAAACATCCCCAGACCTTACGGAGTTGTCAGCACTGAGTTACGCAGCTGTCAAAATGTGCTTCATCTGACAACCCTTCTCCACACCCACTTGCTCCACTAAGTCACTGCCCCAGAGCCCAGTGAGAGGTTTTAGCTCAGAGCACGCAGGCTCAGCGCTTGCCTGAAGGCACAAAGCACTCGGGATTGCAGGAGATCCTTCTCGCTCTCCCATTCTGCAGGCACTTCCAACTTGCACACACAAATAAGCACGCCACCCAGTCAGTGTAGTAGAGACTCGGTTTTATTCGCTCTTTCAGTAGAATACTTTATATTTATTTGCCTTTTCTGGCCTTGATCTTCCTCAAGTAGAATTCTAATTCCTTGCCTTCCAAAACATAACCATCAGCTCGGCCACACTGTCCAGGTCTGGAGGCAATGCAAGCTGCAAGGAGAAGTCATTCAGTTAAAATGACTTAAACAATTCACATGGACAAACTGAAAGAAACACTGTGAACAGACTCCGCACACGCATCAAGGTGCAAAAAACAGTAAGAGATACCAGTTTATACACTGACTTAAGTGCCTCCCCTTAAGATACCTTAAGGTATCTTGCTCTGGAATCTGCTCTACTACACTAAGACCATGGTGAAGTCCTCTTCAGATCTCCAAACTGTCATCGCTCAAATTCAGTAGCAGAACTGGACAAAGGTCTCATCACCAGAAGACTTCAAAAATACTAAACAGTTAAACCAGAACTTAAAAGTTTTCAATGGCATTATATGCCTATTCTGATTTTTTTTTTTTTTTTTTTTTTTKTTTTTTGTTTTTTTTTGGCACAAAAAGCAGCCTAGAGGTCTCTATTTTGTCTTATCTTACACTGCATGACCTCCTCCAACACTGACCAGGAGTGAATATTGCAGAAGCTTTGCTGGGACACACACAGTAATTCAAGCTCCAGAATCCCATTTCCCTTCCTGCCAGAGCAGAGCTATTTCCAGACGAGATACAAAAAGCACAAAAGCTAAGAGTTAATACTCACAAAATACTCCTATCAATACCAAGAGCAGCATCACTACTGCTGCTCTGCAGTTAGCTTCATCACTGCTTGTACTGGTTTGAGCGAATGCAAAGATCAAGAATAAAATTCTCTGCCACTTTGTTTTGTGCCTTGACTCCCTTGTCCCTTCCCATTACAGATGTTTCCAGGGACTCACCAAGCAGCTTTCCTTGCTGGAACTGCTCTTCAAGAATGTTTGCTATCTTGGCAAACTTCTTCCGCTCATCGTATTTTTTCTGGATCTTCTTTGAACGCTTCTTGTTCAGAATTTCTTCTTCCTCGGGAGTCTAAAAATAAGGCATAAATGGTGACAAGATTAAGTCTCCTGCTAGTGCAGGCTCAAAGCTGCAAAACTTATCCTCCACTAATGCCAAGAAAATCCTTGTATTCTCAGCCTGGCATTACTGCCTCTGCTGAGTCATACCTGCAGCGTTCAGTATCCAGTGCAGCTCCTCACTTTTGAGGCTAAGAGATGCAACTATCTAGACCAAGGGATGTAACTACCCAGAACTTGCCCACAACAACACAGCACTCTAGAGAAGGTCGCTCTATAGACAAACTGCCAAGCTTTACTTCATGTATTAATCCTCCTCCAAAATAAACTGCATCCTCTCTCCCTCTCCGAGACGAGAGGGCGCTTGGGTGTGACCAAGTCCTGGCAGGACAGGTTACAGGCTCTCATAGTGCTCAGAATTTTTTTTTTTTTTTTTTTTTTTTAATGCATGGTGGTTACCTTGGAAAAAAATACAGCATGGGGAGGTTTAAATACACCTGAGAGTCTGGGGTTTTAATTTTAAAATAAAATTAAAGATGATGAATCTGGACAATCTAAAGATACTTAAAACCCTACGCAAGCAGAAGTTCTCCTACCTAACTTCTAATTAGAAGGAAGCAGGCACAAGGACCCGACCTGCAAAGTCTTCCTCAGCACAATACGATGTCATCGCTTCCCCCTCAGCAGCAGAACTGGACACAGTTCTCATCATTAGAAGACCAAGTGATCTACAGGCAGGTCCTTGTGTGCAAATGCATGCAATTCCCCAGAGGTTCTTTCTCTTCCCCAGAACACTTTGTAAACAAGAGGTAGATTTATCCTGGTAACTCCCCCCTCCAGAGGGTGCCAATGCTGCTAACTGCATCTCCCAAGGCAGACACTACTCCAGCAAGCAGACAAAACATCTTGCAATCCTGTAGACACCACACAAGCCAACACGTACCAGTTTGGCACCCTTCTTGCGCCCAAGAGGCAGGGCGTAGTGGGCTTCATACCACTGCCGGTACGGGGTGCTGTCAACGAGAACGATGCAGTTCTTCACCAGGGTCTTTGTCCGCACCAGCTCGTTGTTGGAAGCGTTGTAGACGACATCGATGATTCTTGTCTTGCGAGTGCAACCTTCCAAAAGAAGGGCATCAATTCAAATCTACAGGAGTTAGGTAACTGAGTAACAGTCTACGGCATCTCACACATACCCTAAATGCTGCTCTCACACTTTGAAGTTCACCCAAACGTCCTCCAGCTTCCCTGGCACTCTCTTTAATTTAACTAAATGATGCACCTCTTCTTTCATCAGTCCAATTTTCTGTTGTTAGGACAGTAGCCTCTTCCTGGAAAATGGTTCATTCTAGATGAAAAAATAGTGGCCTTGCTGGAACTCATTTCACATTAGACTGAGTGATGTTGAAAACAGAGTTTCTGGCCTGAAAGATACTTCAGCAGACACCAACTAACACAGTTACTGAAATAAGCTGCACTGAACAGAATTGCTCCGCAGTACAGCCTGGGAACCATTTTTATAGAATCAGATCTTACGAGTAAATTGAGAGTAAGCTGTTTTCACCCTTCAAGTTTGACCTAAAACGTTCAGCCAGATGCAAGTGTTTTGCAGTAGCCAGCCCCAGAGCCCCAGCCCTCTGTGCACACCAAGGAGAGGCACAGTGTGGCCAGAAACAAGGAAACATCCTTCTTCTCGCCCCTCACATTCTTGATCTGCAAAGCACTGTAAGGCCCCTTACTTCCGTGACACTGCCTACTGCAGCTTTCAGCGTGGAGAGCGCTCTGTGATTGCTGAGAAGCCCAGGCTTCCTCTCTCCTCACACGCTGCTCACTGAAACACAACCCTACCTACTTACCACTGATGTTTGCCATTGTACTGAGCAACACTAAGTGGTCATGGGCTCAAGACAGATGATTTTTACCTAGTTACCTATTTTTTCACTAGTTATCTAGCATACTTGGTTTTATCGAGAACAAAAATCACCTTGCCTAAGGGATATTTTAACTTCTCTCTGTGAGGCAGAAATAGAAATTACAAAAACGAAGGCTAACACAACACCTCTGGAGCAGCTCCTTCTTACTCAAACCCTCACACTCCTCTCTTGCAGAGGACTGTCTAGCCTTTGGCAAGTGTTCACAGATACACCAGGCAGCAAAAAAAGCCATATTTATACAGTCCTAAAAATATTTAGTTTTGTGGATTTATTTTTTTTTTTCTGGTGATTTCCACCTATCCCAAGTAAAATTAAAAAAAAAAAAACCTTATACAAGCATTTCACTCAGTGTAACTATGACATCCCAATCACTGTGAGCTTAGTGCAGACATCCAAGTCTCCTAAGCCCACCTAAGGTCAGAGTTATCATCATCGTGCCTCCTATCCTGTTCTGCAAGCTCCAGGGTTCAAAACCAGCCTAGAAACACGTGTTTGCAGCATCACTCCCTCTGCTCTGCAGCAGGTCAGGTGGCCACAAAAGCAAGGCTGGTCTCTGACATACACCCAACTTACTGTACACTCACATTCGGATCCCCAGGAGAAGTTGCCAACGTCCAGCCGAAGGGCACGGTACTTCTTATTACCGCCACGAACTCTCACTGTATGAATTCGGCGCGGGCCAATCTACAGCCAAAATCAGAAGTTATTGTCCTTGGCCTGGGTAGAGCACAGAGCCCACGCACAGACAGGGTACCCAGCAGAGCCCCAGGCTCAGAGGCAACGTGGTCAGTGTAACTATGACAAACCCCAGCATTGGCAGATGCAGTAACAACCAAAACGGCATGTTGCATCCACCTAAGGTGAAGCTTTCATCACTCCAAGTGCCTCTTTCTACAAGAATATATCACTGTGTTTACCAGGCATCGGGAAAAATACCAGTTCAAAGAAGCAGTGACAGATAATTTAACCATTCACAGAGCAGAGCATGCTCTTACGCCTCTAAAAATATTTAATCAGCAAATCAAATTTGGAAATCAAAACAAACACTGGCCACTCTCTCTAAATAACCCACCTTGGTATTGGCAGGAGGCCGCCCCAACTCATACTTCCTCTTCTTATGGTAGGGCTTCCTCTTGCCCCCAGTCTTGCGGCGCTTGTGCCAGTTATCCCTGGAGATACCTGGGTGAAGAGCAGTGTGGTCAGAGGATGATGCAGAGACCACCTGGGTGCAGGGCGGAAGGTGTGGGAGAGGGCTCCGAGTCCTCAGCTCTCCAAGGTTGGTATCCGCACAGCACACTCAGCCTCATGCAGCAGTCAGAGATGCTTCATCATTGATACTCGGAGCCACCACCACCACCTCCTTCCAGCGGCGCTCCACAGAGCAGGGCGCTTCCCCCATCCCACTCCACTTGCTCTATCCCTGGCCCCCTTTTGGGGATGCAACCCTCCCATCCCTAAGGACTCACTGCACGGCAGGAGCGAGGGCTATGCGGTTTGGAGAACACCCCACTCGCCCCACGGGGGCCGCTTCCCCAGCGGCCCTTCACGCGCAGCCCCGCGGGAGGCGCCTCCCGCGCGGAGCCGCCGCGATGCGCGGCCGCCCCCTCCCTCCGCCGCCATGTTGGGCCCGGCCGCCCTCTCCAGTCAGCGCCTCAGCGGCCGCCGATAACGAGCGGGACGGAGCGGCGGCGGCGCCCGAGGCGGCCCAAAGGGGCAGCGGGGCGGGCAGCAGGAGCAGAGCGGGCGGATGGCGGCGGATGAGGGCGGATGGCGGCGGATATCGCGGATGGCGACAGCCGCACTCACCCATCCTCGGCGCTGCAGCAAAGAGGCGGCGCGGGGGTTGCCGGGGCGGCTTGGCGGGCCGAGCTCTCGCGAGAGGGTGACGTCAACGCGCGGCGCGAGCAGGGCCGTGCCGGGGCGGAGCGCCGCAATGGCGGGACGGGACAGCAACCAGGAGGCGCGGGCCGGCGCTCATTAGCATTGACATTCATTAGCATATCCCTCATTAGCATACCCAGGCTGCACCGCGGCAGCACCGCGCCGGCCCCGTTACGGTCCCGTTATGGCCCCGCTCCCGCCTGCGGGGCCGCTCGGGCCGGGGCGGCGCCGCGAGCTCCGCGCGCCCGCGGCGGGGCCGGAGCG